CTTAGACACATAGCATCACCAGGAACAGGACAGACCCATCACCTGCCTCCTGACGTGCCACGCTGAGAACTCAGCCATTTCTGTGGTCCTCCTGCCCAAAAAGACAGACTCTGAAGCCAATCAGAAGGAAACATCTCACAGAGTCAAAATGAGGGACAGTCTACAAAATAACTGGCCCATACTCCTCAAAAATAGCACTGTCACACAGCACAAAGGCAGAGGAAGTGCCCCAGATTACGGAAGCAAAGCGACAGTGCAGGGCCCAGCCCGGTTCCTTCTGCTGTATTGATGTCATTGGCACAATCCTGACATCTGTGTCCATACTGTTTTCTCATTTCAACAACTGGAATGTGGCTATGTCCTTATTTTTAAGAAATAAATGCTGAAAATACTTAGGAATAAGTAAAGGGGAATTACATCTGCAACTTTATCTCAAGTGGCTCAGAATAAGATAGAGAGAAGGGGAGAAAAGGAGGGAGGGAGAGTGAGTGAGAAAGAGAGAGATGGAGGGGAGAGAGTGCACACTCACAGGGTATGGGGATACCCAGAGACTCCGAGTGGAAGACAGGTGGGAATTTTTCATACTACTCTTCCAATTTTTCTGTTAAGTATAAAATTATGTAAAAATAACAGGTCAAACAAGAACAACTTTTGTGGGTCCAATGTGCCTGTCTCAGTATTTGAGCATCTCAAAGGGTCAACACAGAACATGGTGCCCATTCACCTCTCTGTCCCAGCTTCTCCCACCACCTCAGAAGGCCGCAGAGGCTCCAGATCCCTGCTCTTTTATAACAGAAGCCTCAGCTCTACAGAGCTCCTGAGTCTCCAGCCCTCTTGAATCCTCAGAACAAGTTGCTCAAAGAGTAAAAGGCTTCTATGTAGCCAAAACTTCTGTCCTTGGAAGACATTTAAGAGCACTAAATAGAAAAAACATACCAAAAAAAAGTCTATTCTATAACTAAAAGTCCCTAAATATTCCCCCATTATAGATTAGGATTTTTTAAAAAAGAAAGTTGAAAAGTAAGTTCTCAAAATACCTTTCCACATTCCTCCGGGACTTCAGGGCCAGAGGTAGTGGGACAGAGGACAGCAGGATGGAGAATAGGACAGAATGGATGACAGTGGGACAGAGGACAGCAGGATGGAAGACAGCAGGACGGGGGACCGTGGGACAGAGAACAGTGGGACAGAGGACAGCGGGACGGGTGGGAGGACAGCAAGATGGAGGACAGCAGGACAGAGAACAGCAGGACGGGGGACAGTGGGACAGGACGGAGGACAGCGGGATGAGGACAGCGACTGTGCTATCACTCTCAGTGACATTCCATGGCAGACTTTCAACAGCCACAGGGTGCTACCTCAGAGTCACAGGCACTTGAGTTAGACACAGGCCAGCTCAGCGAGACCCCTCAAGGCCCTGTGAAAACACCACCAGCACACCAGCCACTTCAGTGTGCACCTCATGCGGCCAATTCTCAGAGAATCAACCCCTGAGACAAAGGTATATTTCATTCTAATTTTATGAAAATGGAAATGACTCCAAAAAGTCACAGGAGCTGTCATGTGGTAGGGCCAGAATACAAAGCTAGGTCTCTGGACTCCAAAGCCCATGCTACTTCTCGGAACCTACATTTCTAGGGGTTGAGGCTCCCCACAGATACCCAGAAGAGGCAAGGCCAAGGAGATGATCCAGCGGCAGACTTAGCTGAGGGGAGTGGGCCCTGCTGACCCAGGTGGTGGAGACCCAGGCCTCCAGCTGGGCCTAGAAGGTTGGGGGCTGCTAGAGGACTCAACCTGGAGCTGGCAGCTCAAGGCAGGGTTGGGCAGGCTCAGCACACCTCCCCCCACCCCACCCCCAGCTCAGCCTTGATCCCTGTACAAAGAAGGCACAAGGACCCAGAGGTTCACTGTTAACTCTGGTTGTGCCCCCTGAGGATAGGCAGTGGCTGCTCACCTCCCGGGGCTCCTTTACACCCTCTGCCTTTCCTTCTGTGCCTTCTGGCCCTGGTCACTCTGCTCAAACATCACCCTCAAGGCCAGGGGTCCTCAAACTTTTTAAACAGAGAGCCAGTTCACTGTCCCTCAAACAGTTGAAGGGTGGACTATGGGCCCCAGGACAAGTCAGCTGCTAAGCAGGACAGGCAGCGGTGGCAAAAACACTCGGCAGGCTGGATAAATGTCCTAGGCAGGCCGCATGTGGCCCGCAGGCCGTAGTTTGAAGACGCCTACAAGGCTTTCTGAGCCCCTGACCCAGCCCAGGCAGTAGTGACTGGCAGTGACCACCCCACTCATCCCTTCGTTCTACCTTGTACAAATGTCCAGCCCTGCCCAGGGGCCCTATGCAACAGAATGAGTTTAAACACAGGGAAGGGTCATGTCACCATCACCACAGTCAAGACACAGAACACTCCCGGCAATCCAGTGCCTCTGTCCTCACCAGCTCCTGCCAGCTCCTGGTTCTGTCCCTATAGTTCTGCCTTTTCTAGAATTCAATCACTAAGTGCATGGTTTTTCTTTTAAACTGTGGTAGGATGCAAAAAACAGGATGAACCACCTTCACCATCTTCAGGTGTACCGTTCAGGGGCATCAGGTGCAGTCACACTGCTGTGGGACCATCACCACCATCCACCTCCACAGAAGGAACCACCTTCATTCACCATCTTCAGGTGTACCATTCAGGGGCATCAGGTGCAGTCACACTGCTGTGGGACCATCACCACCATCCACCCACAGAATGTTCTCATATTCCCAAACCACAACCCTGTCCCCACTAAACACTAGCTCCTTATTCCTCTCCCACTGTGACCGGGCCACTGCCATCCTTCATTCTCTCTCTGTGAATTTAACTACTCTACACACAGCATGTAAGTGGAATCATACAGTATTTTTCCTTTCTGTGCCTCATATTTCACTTAGCATCGTGTCCTTAAGGCTCATCCATGTCATAGCATACGTCAGAATCTCCCTCCTTTTTAAAGCTGAGTAATATTCCATTATATGTATAAACTACATTCTCTTTCACTGTGAAGGAGCCCATGGATGGGCACTTGGGTTGAATAATGCTACTGTGAACACAAGTGTACAAATAGCTATGAGACCTTGTTTTCAATTCTCTGAGCTATATTCCAAGAAGTGAAATAACAAGGCCTATTTTCACGATTCTGTTCTTCATTTTTTGAGAAACTGTCACACTGTTTTCTCCATAAGATTTACCACGTTACATTCCAACCAACAGTGCACAGAGGTTCCAGTTTCCCTTCCTCAGAGCATCACCTTCGTGTCTGCCTCTCTCTCTTCGCAGGCTTCGGAGATCAGTCCGTGTTGCTGGCCCTCTCAGGGCTCCATTCCCTCACTGCTGGGTAGTCCACTGTGTGGATATAGCACAATTAACTTAGCATTTCACCAGCTGGCTCCAATCTGAGGCTACTTGTACAAATAAAACTACTCTGAACAGGTGTATACGTGTCTTCACATGGACACAGCTTTCATTTCTCTTGGAACTGTGCCTAGATGTGAGACTGCTGAGTCCTAGGATAAGTGGATGCTTAACATTACACAGAACTGCCACACCATCTTACAGAGCGATTGTACCATCTGCATTCTCTCAAGAGTGGGTCCCGGAGCCCCAAAAGCTCCCCACCATGGAGCCACATGGCCCTCTGGGGACAGGGCTACACACAGCATTCTGCCCTACGGGCTTCTTCAAACAGAAAAGGACCTCTGTACCCAGAAAGGGTCTTCCCCAGGTACCTCTGAAAAACTGGCAAGCTCTACACCAGCCCCCTAACCCAATTCAGAAATTAAAACGGGGAGCACAGCGGGAGCTGACTCTCTCCACCACCAAAGGAGGGACTCAAACCTCACGGCCCCAGGCTGCACGTGTCCGCACAAACTGAAGAGTTCTCACCAAAAGAGGGACTCAAACCTCACGGCCCCAGGCT